TGGGTACACGAGGTCACATGCTACTCACCATCTCAGCTGGAGACTTCATTAATCCCTTGCTCCAGTAAGATGCAGAAAGTTAGGTGACTGATAAAGGTCATCTGGGGAGACAGGACAGGGTACTGCATACCCAGGGCAGTTCTGATAGTTGCTGTTCTTGGGCTGGGGACGCACAGTCCTTCTGCACTACTGCAGCAGGATGCACCCTAGAAGCGAAGGCCCTGGCCCTGTATCTGTAACGGCAGAGACCATCCCTACAGCGTGAACTAGGCATCCTCCAGGCTAACCTAATGTTAACAGTCCACTAACAGTCCATTCCTGGTGAGGTGATTACACTCAGATAAGCACAAAAGGAAGCAGAACAATGACATGTTTTCAGAGCTGGCTTTGGTAAGATCAAAGAAAAAAGAACTCATTAGACTTGGTTTTATGTATTCTGAAGTGAGAGGCACATAGATTGCCTAAACTGCCTGCATTTGGTTTTTCTAACTTGCTTTGACAGCAGCATCTTTACAGCTTTGGTGAGGGCTGCAGACCACCACCTAAGCTACAACTGGCTCAGTTTCCATTTAAATCAGTTAAGTTTTAAAATTTGAGTAGCACCTTCATTTGAGTTCTGTACATGAAATCAATATAATGGTTATCTTTTATTAACAGATATATGTATTAATATAAAAAAATCCATGTACCAACTAAAATCATTGTATATATTTTCACTAATGTGATTTCAGTGTTTGGGTAACTGTAATTCTTGGGTGGGTGAAAGCATTTCTAATCACTAATCTGAAAATATGAAAATGTGGTAGATATCCTCACATTTTTACATATGTGTTACATTACATATGTGTACAAGGGAACTCTACATAGACACACAACATATCGACTGATGGAGAACAAATGAAAAGTGGATGAGCAGTAGACATGATTAGGTCAGAGAGATGGGAAGTAACAATCAAGATACGGTACAATATTTTAATAAGAATTCTTAAAACAAAACAACAAAAAAATCACCACCATAAAAGCACTCTTCCTCTCAACAAAAAACTTCAAATATACAAATCACTGCCCCATTTTCAAAAAAAGAAAAAAACTCAGTATATTGTAACAAAAATGTAAAAATCTGGTGTTACATATTTCTCCAGTAATACTCCAGTTACATAATTCTCCAGCTAATACTGAAAATCAGTATACATGAGAGTGAGCTTCAGGGCTCCCCCAAGATGCCTCCAAGTTTGGGGAGATGGGGAAGCTGGCTAAGGCTCCTTATTTTTTCCTTCCTTTAAGCTCCAAGCTCATAGCCTTTCAGTCTCCTTGCTCCTAAGACTCCCTATGAGCAAAGGTGCTTCTCAGTTGTTATGGTTTATGTCAAGGCATCCCTCCAAAGCTTCATGCAGTCATAAGGGGTGGGCTTCTCAGAGGTGTATCGGGAGTTTGTGGTTGATTCATGGTTAAGTGTTGGGATTAAGAGTGTCAGTACTACACTTATGCTAGGGTAGGCAGCCTGCACACCATATAAGGGACAGTAAGAGACTTTATCTCTCATTGGTTGCTTTTGCTGTTTTCTACTTCCATGAACTGTTGCCCCTCTACCTTGGAGCAAGGTGATTATGCACCAAAACCTCTACACACTGTGAGCTAAATAAACATGTGCCCCTTTACCTTTGGATGTTGGGTATTTTGTCTTAGTAATGACAGAAAAGTAACTAAGACATCAGATAAGATGACATTTGGAGACTACTAATGTTGTCAATTTCCTCTTTTTACCAATGAGAAAATTAAGGTTCAGAGAAACTAAAAGACTAAAAGTCACTCAGCAAATCATGGCAGAGCCAACACCTAGGGAATTCAGTGCCCAGATTCCAAGGTTGGTGTTTATCTGATGAAACACTTCCAAGACACCTTGATACTCCATCTATTGGTGACCCTCATAGACAACATTAAATTAACACCACTGCTTATCTTTATGAAAGTATGATTTATCTTTAATTCACTGAGGAGGGGTAATAGCCAGCAACATTTAATGAAGTGTTATGAGTCAAGTGAAACACATTAGAAATAAGATTTAAGTCATTATTTTGGAAGATGTGGGAGACAACTCCAGTGACTCCCTTTGAACCCAAACAATTGCTGTGACTTTGATTACTTGGAGACTCATTTCCTTATATTGATAAGTAAAAGGCTGGCTAGGGTGTTTCCTTCTCTCTTCAATTGGCTCTGAGCATTGCAAATAAGACAAGCGGAGGTACTAATGTGCAAAGTCTATAACCATCAGACAGTCCTGTTTCCTCACATGGTGCTCTCTACAATACAGGATGGAGCTTGCAAGATGTTACAGCCAATAGCTCTGGGAATGTCAACTGGGTAGGAGCCTCGAGATAAGAGGCTATAACTCCCCAAGGCATAAGAGTTTGCTATCAGAAGCCAAAGCATAGCCCCCCCCCACCCCAAACAATTCCATTGCTACCTTAATTGGATTATGTAAACTGATCCTTCTGCATGTCTTTATCTCTGCAAATTACAGAGATGCCATTCTTGCACCTGGCCAGCCAGCGCAAGTTACTCAGTAATCTCTGACATCCTCACTATCACTCATCCCTGAGCCACCCCTCTTTCTTCACAAGATGATAAATGCTGGGAGAGGCCTAGAATCAAGGCCTTTGTCCACATGTCCTCATGAGGATTGGACTTAGGACCCCTTGGCTGCCCTTAATTTGGAACATGTCTTGGTGTCTTTACTCTCACCATGAGTTGGATTGGTGGTGGTAGACTGGAATAAACTTGCTAGGATTCCAATAATGTCTCTTCTAGAAAGAGGATTACATTACTTGGATAACTGAACTGGATACTTGGGTTTACAATAGAAGATATGATGTAAAGACGCAGGCACATCTCTTCTTTAAAAGTTGTATAAATCAAATAGTACCTCAAACAGATTAGGAAATCTTCCTAATTAGTAAAAGAAAACAGCAATAGTAATAACAGCACTAGCCATAATTTACTATTTATCATCTCTCAACCCCTGGACACAGCACTTTACATGCACTGATAACCTCATGACAGAAACATTATTCCCATTTTTATAGGTGACAAAAATTGAGCCTAAACTCACAGGTTTGCCCAGGACTGAGGAGCCCTTCAGGATGTAGAATTTCAGGCATACAGTCAGGAAAGTCCCAGTGACCCTGGCATGGCTGGTTACCTCCATGTGAGGCTAGAATCTTTGACTGACTCCCAGACTGATGCTGCTGTCTATGGGATAACTTCCCTCCATGGGCCACAGACTAGTCCCACAGACTGGCTTCACAAAGGCTATCACCAGCAGTCTCAAAGGCTATCTTTTCTCTATCATATATTTCTGGAGAAACTCAGATAGTTGAAGGTGCATTGTAGTATTGTTTCTGTGTCTTCCATTGCATTCCATTGGTCTAAAAGCCTATATGGTACCAGTACCATGTTGATTTTGTTACTACAGCTTTACACTGTAATTTGAAATTCAGTAATTGCAATTGCTTTTATTTCTCTCAAGATTGTATTGGTTAATACGAGTCTCTTCTGGTTTTATATAAATTATAGGATTTTTGTTAGTTCTGTGAAGAAAGTTGTTAATATTTTAAGTAAAAATTCCATTTGACCCAGATATATTCTCTTCAATATATTCCTGAAAGAGTTGAAGACATCATTGTATAGTGATATATGGATACCTGTATTTATAGCAGCATAACTCTCAATGGCTAAACTCGGGAAACAACCTAGATGCCCATCATCAGATGAATAAGGAAAATGTGGTTCATATACACAATGGAATATTACTCAATCATAAGGAATGAAATCGTGTCATTTGCAGGAAATTGGATGGAACATGAGATCATAATGTGAAGTGAAACAACTCAGACACAGAAAGTTAAATACCACATTGTTTCTCTTACACAAGAATCATAAAATATAAGAAAAGAGTAAAATGAAGGAGAGATGTAAGAAACAGAAAGGCAGAGTTTGTGGAGGTGGGGTAGGGGAGAAAGAGAAAAGGGGGTTTAGGAAGGAGGTTAGTGGAATAAAAAATAACATATGCATGCACTGACTCCCCAAAACAAATTAAATACATTGTAAACACACAAAAATTAAGAAAAAGAAAATACCAGTTATATTCCTTCCTTTCCAACTGTGAATTTGCTTTTCTTTTCCTGACAATACTGCTTTAGCCAGGGCCTCCAGCACCATGTTTGGTAGAAGTGCTCATACAGAGAACTCTTGCTTCATTCCTGCTCTCAACACTGAACCACAAAATATGATTCTTACTTTAAGATTCTGTAAATACCACTTATGGAACAGTTTCCTTCTTAAAATTTAGTATGAATTGTTTTGGGTATTGCTTATGGAATCCATTATGGAAATGGATTCAAGTTTACTGTATTTTCTTAGGTCCCAAAGATTATTTCTATTTGTTGAGAAACTAGTAGACTGAATTATGTTTCACAAATCAAGTCTGGTTATGAGATAGGCTTCTGGAAATATATACTGCAATTATGAACAGAAAACAAAAATTTTCCTCAAAAAGGAAAGGGGCTTGCAAACGTCAGTTCTTGTAATGACATTGCTGGCTGTGGGTACCACCATTCAGCTCTTCTCATAAAATGAATTGATTTCCCCACCTTTCCTTTTCTCGGAAAGAGCTTGCATGAGCCAGTATTAGTTTGCTTTTGAATGCTTATAAAGTTCACTAGTGAAAATCAACACAAAAATTGTGAGAAATGATTAGGTTATGGATGCAGTTCTGTTAATAGACAAAGTACTGTGGAGATACATTTTTCCTCTCAGAACTGTTTTCAGGGAATTCATGAATTTCAAGTAAGTTTTCAAACTGATGTGACAAAAATGAAGGGTGCAACAACATTTTACAATACAAGACATTCGGGGGTAGCTCTGGCTTCTTTTACAAAGTGCCAGAGAGCGCGCTGCACACCTCTGACGGCTGTCCTGTAGGAAAGCAAAGCGACACGTACCTTGACCTCAAACTCGAAGTGCGCGTCCTTCCCTTGCCCGCAGAGGACATAGCGTGGAATACTAATCTTAATTGGGTCCTTCAGGTCATCCGGATTTGCTCCCAAAGAGCGAGAAACCATCCGCTATCAAAGGCACATCAGATGGAGAGAACAAAGAGAAACCAAGATCACTTTGCTGCAAATACCCTGCTTGGGCAGGAGGGAGAAAATGTGTTTCAAGTAAAGAAAAAGAGCATCAAACCAGTGGAGTTTATTTAGAAAAATGATGGTTTTCTCTGAAAGAGCAACGCTAAGCCTTTAACAAAAGACCATTTCTTTAGGTACATCATTCCAAGAAGTCAGAGCAAAATGAGTTCAAAATGTTGTCTGGCTTTGAAGTTCCTTTCAATTTATAAGAACAAGTGAAAGCAAGGACAGATTACATATCCTGCTTCTTAAACAAAAAAAAAAAAATCAGTACAAACTAAGATTCTTTTCTAAAAGTCTTGATCATTTGACGAACTTTTTTCTTCACAGACTGCTGTGCATAAAGCTGCAAAAGCTGGAGATTCATTCAAATTTATTTCATGTTTTTTAGCCATTTTTATAAGCTACTGTAGGGTGGAGAGCTCTTCAAACTGCAACTAAAACAAACCCCAAGTATTTTCCTGGTGCTCTATTTGATTAATAATGGACTCAGCTCGGATGGAAGAGTCTTGAGGAACAGGCATAAAAATACTCAAAATGGGTTCTCAAGTGTGAATAGGAAGAAATCTCAGCATAATTATTATTTGCGCTAACCTGGGGCTTTAGAAAGCATAAGAAAATATGCTTTTGATCAACAGCAATAAAACAATTCAATCCTAAATATGGCCAGCTGAATTTACTGAATACTTACTAGATAACAAAATGCCCTAGCAGTAGACATGGACTGGCCCACCAAATCCTCGGGATGCTGTAAGGTGTTAACCCTGTTTACCAGGCAGATGCCCCAGACCACAGGTGGGGTCATTTTGATGGCACTAAGTGGTAGGCCCAAGACTCGAACTTGGGGTGATCAGAACCCACTTTTTATCATCACTCTGCTCTTCTGCTATCATGAAATGTGAAACTAATTCCTCCAAGAGAAAATTCAAACACAGAATGCAAGAAGCTGGAACTCTATGATAATGTAGTGAAACTACTTCCTTTACCAGTAAGTCCCCATTTCAAAATGGGGGGAGGGAGTTCCCCAGGCAGGTGTCACCAAGTTAGGCACATGATGGATGACACAGAGAGGGGTGTGATTATCTTGACTTGCTATGAAGTTACTGTGGCTTTTAGAGCATCTTAATTTTCCTCCCGGTAGTTGCTCACCCACAGGAAGAGCCACTGTAGGTGACAAAGGCACACAAAGCCACTGTGCCTAATGCCAAAAGGGAAATTTCTGGACAAGTCTCTAGACAGAAACATTGCTGAAGATTTTTCAACTCACAGCCTGTCCATTTCCAGATTACTTTAAACAGAGACTTTTCTGAAACATGGAACAAGCTGACCCACTTAAGAGAAGAAAGAGAAGTAATTTGGTAGCTTTAGTCATTAGGATGGGTCAACGTTAAGAAACGCCTTTGACCTACAAATGCCATGGCTTAGCTGAGAAGTTTTTGCTCTGCTGCCTAAGCCCGGATGTCGTTTAATAACTGTATTTTCTCAAGGGGAAGAACATCTCCTCCCAGATCTGACACGGTGTCTCAGGGAATCAGGGTGTGGAGTTGGAGGCTGGGAAATACTGTAGCTGAGGACAGCTTCAGCAGAGGGGAGATGAGGGATTTCTAGTGACTGATACATGGTGGGGAAGGAGAAACCCATTCTCTACAACTCAGGGGGAGCCTGGGCCCCTACCAGGTACGTCACCAGGCCAAAGCTGTGGCTGGTCTGGAGAGGTGTGTGTGTGTGTGCGCGCACGTGTGTACGCAAACACATGGGCAATCTGAGACAGCCCTTTCCACAACTCTTGAGTGGGCACCTTGATAAAAAGTTCTTGATCTGATGCCAGGGCTGCTGCCCTACTTGGACCAGACAGGTACATGCAGCAACTCCATGGCTGAGAAGACAGCAACGCCTTCTTCATCCCTCAGCAAGCTGGAGACAAGACCTCCACTACTGTCCTCAGCCACAGCGCACCTCAGCCTCCCTGACTTCACAGGAACTCAGTGTTAATGAGCACACAGAAATAAGTAACTGAAATGTAAGTCATGGAAATGAAAACATTTGAGCAAAAAGGATAATTAATAGAAGAAAAATAGTAAAAAGTAGAACTTTCCATCAAGTCGCTGCTGCAATGTAAATTTTAAAAATTACTCTGTGAAGGCAAACACATGGGAAATGTAGAAGTCTGGGGATACAGAGTGAAAGGTTCTTGACATCCTAGTAAACTATGTTTACATCGGGCAGGCCAGATAAAAAACTAATATAAGTGTCCCCAAACTTTATTCTTGACTTGAAAGTGGCTATGTTTTGAGTATCATGAGTCTTCTACTAGATAGGTAAAAGCATACTGTACCCTATCACATCCCAGTGCTTATGCGGGCTGTTAAATATTTGTGGCCCTGTTTATTTTGGAGTCAGTCACACTCCCTGTTAGACTGCAGTGGGCAAGCAGGTGACAGGCGGCAGCAGAGGTAAAGAAACCCAAGTCTGTGTGTGGTGGGTATGAGGAATTTAAGTGTACTCCAGAGTGCTTCTATTTAGAAATAAAAGGTCAAGAAATGTAATTACTAACTTGGATTACATGACTATACATAAGAAATATCATCTTTAAAAATTAAATACAACAGAATTGTGTTTCTGATAGCTTTTAATGAAATAATGTTTTGTGTCAACAAATATGCTATTTTCTATCGTGATGAAAGAATGCAGTGAGATCCTCAGCCAAAATAAACAGGCAGAACACAGGCTACAGCGCAGTATCGCATTACAGTCTTCTTTTCATGCTAGGGCTGTTTCTTTCAAAAGGGGCCAACTGAGGAAGTGAACAGGAAGCAGCATTAATATCTACTCAGATCACCATGCAGAGCAGCCCAATTCTGCAGGGAGCCATCAGCATTCTCCCCCGAATATACTCTAATTATGTACCAGATGGTGAAATTTAGTACACGTTTGACCATGAAAAGGTCAGACCCCAAAACTGCCTTCTCGTCTCCTGGCAGCCATATCCAAGCTTGCTTCGAAAATACAGGCAAACGATGGTGGCTATCAGATTCAACAAAATCATCAATTCCTATCTTTGTTCTTAGCATAGCTTGTATTTCTTAGTCCTCTTTATTTTCAACCACATGGTGACAGTTCCAGCTAGAACTATTATAGATTAAGTAACTGTTAGATTCTAGCAATTTTAAAATGATGATTTGAGGAAGATCTGCTATATTTTCAAATATGGGCTACATCATAAGGAGCAGGGAATGATGGTGACATCTATGAGCAAGGGAAATTACAAGTGTAAGAAACAGCCAAGATGTGCTCATATTCATGTCCCTGAGAACCCTACCGATGCCACAAAGGGACTTTGTCTCAATGATACTCTCTCTCTCTGAAGACTTAGTAGGAATTAATGAATGCAATCAATTGGATTTTGCTGAGACCTATACCCCCCCACCCCCACAGTATAGGTTCATCTCACTATCCAGGATGGATAAGTGAGCACTTACAGCAGCTTGGCAGAAGAAATAATGCTCACCTTATTTTCTCTTAAAAAAGAGCTTAGGTTACTTACACTGGGAGAAACAGAAAGACAACTATTCAAATCAGAAGTTTTTTAAGCCCTAATATATAGCCACAGGAATATATTACCCAGCAACTGACAAACTGCACTGGACATGGATGTGTGTGGAATTCCTGAGTTTAGCTGACCTTTCCAAACCATGATTCTTTCTAGAATTATTGATCTGAACTGACCAGCACTATTTCAAGGTTTGCAAATACTGGATATCTGATGAATGCTTCAACTTGAAACTATTAAAAATGTCACTATTTTGCAATCTTTAGCTCATGTAAGCTTAAGTGTCTTTAATGATCATCATTTCTGAACAACTCATATATGATTATCTTAAGAAGACTTAAATATTGGATCTACTACACTTGGCTGACAACTGGGCAACAATTTGTAAGTGTCTGGGATCCTTGGGAGGGAAACTCAGCTTGTTCTCCATTCTAGTTTCACAGTATCTTTGATTAATCATGAAAAGAACTAAACATCTATACCCCTGATGTTTGTGCAGCTCTGGCTTTGTTTCTGACTGTGCCTTATTCTATAGTTCAGGAGAAAATAAAAGGTGGGAAGAGAAGAGGTATTTCCTCCAGGTTTCTACACAGTAATATTGTTCAACTTTCTAGCTACTGAAGCTTTCAAGGTTATCTCTACCCCGGTCACACTGTGACTGTGAGTTGGGTGTGCTGGCACGGTGATGCACACCTGTAATCCCAGCTCTACCTCTGGCTGAGGCAGGAGGATCTCTACAAGTTTGAGGCCAGCTTGGGTTACATAGTGAGTTCAGTACCCTTGTACCACATAGTGAGACCCTAACTCAAAAAGAAAAAAAAAAATTATGACTGTGTCAGGCTTTTCATCTGCAGAAGCAATAAAATGTAGGGGTTTGGAAATACGAGACATAACATTTTTCCAAGGAAATAATGGATTGGAAAGAAATTTTAAGGCCCTCAATGAAAACAAGAATGAGAACAACAAGCTCACAAAAATCATCTCGTCTAAGCATTTTAAAAAAAAATTATCCCAGCACTCGGGAGTCTGAAGCAGGAGGATTGCAAGGTCAGCCTGCGCTATAAAGTAAGCTCAAGGCCAGCCTGAACTGCATAATGAGACCCTATCTCATTAGAAACAAACACACACACACAAATCAGGACAAATCAGGGAAGAATTAACTTAGCCACTTTTAGCATTGTCAAAAAAAAAAAAACAAAAAAAACAAAAAAAAAAAACTTACCAAGACAATGTCAAGTGAAACAGTGCCTAGGAAGGAGGTGGCTTTCTTATTGTAGAAAAAAAGGTCTATTCTAGAGTACATAAATTCAGGTGTTATTCCCAATTTTCAATCAGGAATCCTTTTTGGGCCTAAATTCCCAGATATGAAATGGAGGATAGTCATAAT